ACCCCCAGGATGATCAGACACCCCTGCACTGTGCGGCTCGAATGGGCCACAAGGAGCTTGTCAAGCTGCTCCTGGAGCACAAAGCTAGCCCAGACTCTTCTACAACTGCAGGGCACACACCTTTACACATCGCTGCACGGGAGGGGCACGTCCACACCATTCGAATATTATTAGATACTGGAGCGCAGCAAGTCAAGATGACAAAGGTAGTGCTTCCATTTCTGCTCTATTTACATTACCTGTATTTTCCGCCGTACATGTCGTACCACCCTATAAGTTGCATCTGTCCAAATATGTCTAATAAAGTGGGAAAATCCATAAATATGTCGCTTCACCATATATGTTGCATCTGTTATGTGTCACTGCTGACAACCTGGAAATGTGGGCCGGTGTTGTGCCAAAAATCAATTGGCTGCCAAAGGGTGGCCATGGGGGCGTGCATGGAAGGACTTTAACAATAATTTAACAAGATTAACACTTAAAAACAATTATTTGTTTGCTTGAAATTATAGCAAAAATGTGTCTCTGCCCAACTTGTCCTTAATAAATGCACTTTGACGGTCAAATCAGCTGCATTTCAAAAGCCGATATGCGGAAACATGAAAGTGCAGAGGGCGACTCGCTGCATATTTCTTCAAAATTTAACAAGATAACCACCTAAATGCAATTAGTTGTTAACTTGACTTTATAGTAAAGGTGTGTCTCAGTTGAACTTTTCCTTAATAAATGCACATCAATGGTCAAATTAGCTGCATTTCACCGGGGCAGCGCAACAAAATTAATAATTTCAATTAGAATTAATGAAAACGGTCATATCTCAGCCTAAAATTGGTTAAAAAATATAGGGAAAAATCCATAAATACATCACTTCGGCGTATAAGTAGCAGGGCATGCAAATTATGCAAAAAAACCTGTGACCAATAGGGCAAAAAATATGGTATATATTTGCTTTATTTTTGTTCTCATGTCAGTAATAATACTGCATTGAGTACATGTTTTACTTTCTTTGGAGTAGAAAGGTTTTACCCCCCTCCACGTGGCCTCCAAGTATGGAAAGGTGGACGTAGCAGAGCTTCTTCTGGAAAGAGGCGCCAACCCAAATGCTGCAGGGAAAGTGAGTGGCTACAAATCTGTGAGGCGCATTTGAAACCATTTCCTTTTATTCCTGAGATTATCATAGTACATGTCCCATACATACATGTTTCTGTGTGGTTTTTTTGTGTATGCTTGTCTATATCTGTATATCTGTTCACATGTATATATATATATATATGTGTGTGTATGTGGTTAACAGAACGGTCTGACACCCCTTCATGTGGCCGTCCATCACAACAACCTGGATGTTGTTAAACTCCTGGTCAGCAAAGGAGGATCTGCACACAGTACTGCCCGAGTAAGATGCTTGTGATTGTGTGAGTGTGTGTGTGTGTGCGTGCATACCCACACAGGCGGGCCAACACAACCCATCACTGATAAAGCTGACTTTGCATGGACTAATGGTGTTTATTATTGGTAAGAAGAGCACGTTCATGCTGGTTTGTGTCCATATATTCTTGTTTTTTCTTTTTTGTTTTAATACAGAATGGTTACACACCTCTACACATAGCGGCTAAACAGAACCAAATGGAGGTGGCCAGTTGTCTGCTGCAGAATGGGGCACTGCCGAATGCCGAGTCCCTCCAAGGCATCATGCCTCTACACCTGGCTTCACAGGAAGGAAGGCCAGACATGGTGGCTCTGCTCATCTCCAAACAGGCCAATGTAAATCCTGGAAACAAGGTACTCTGGAATGGCTCTAAATGAGTAAGAATGTGAAACAATTGTGGATCATAATGTGGTTTTTAAAAATATGGATGGTATTAACATCACATAAAATACTACAATTAGGTAACTACCATTGAGCAATTAATGTAACCTGGAGAAATTTGGGTAAGGGTACGCATTAAACACTTTTAACTGTTATGGTTCTTGTGTTTAAAACCCATGTGCATGCATGACTGAGAGAACTCGAGACTTAAATGTAGAATATATTTAATAGAGAAAAAGCAAAAACTGACGTGTGGCAAACTTACATGAACTCAGGGGTGACACAGAAGGAGGCAGAAACAGGACACATACAGGGTGATGTCCAGACAACTGGGAACACAGAGATAGAGACGCCAAGGAATAGACGATGACAAACACCTGGGGAAGGAGAACAAGTGGTGGAGGCAGGAGCTGATAACAAGAGGGAGACACACTGAGGAGAGCAGGACAGACCACAAAATGGAGAAACACAATAGAAAACACAAATCCTCACATTAACCTCTGATTCCTCCAATGGTCCTACTCCACCAGATGGCATTCTTTGAAAGCTGATGGGACGAGCAATAGCCTTGACTAAAAGTATTCTGCACATTTATTATAGCAGCAATAATGTTAGAAAGCACAGAACACTTTCAAGTTGATATTTTCCAAATATTTTCATGCATCTTGTCAATATGAGAACGCTAAACTACACTGTGCACATATGAATGCCTTGGTTGCAGAAGATGAGGGCACTTGGTTCTTTAATTGCTTATGTGCAGTCCCTGAGATTTTAAAACAAGAAATGCAATAGCTACACCTTGAAACTGTTGTAAACCTCTAAGATGGGCTTTAAAGATGAATGGTACCACATGCCTAAAACATGGTGTTGCTTGGTATCCTCAGTTCCAGAATATATTTTATTTACTGTTGGACAGCAAGGCCTAAAAATGCACAAATTGAAATTATGTTGGAAATATAATCTAAATGTATGCAATGAAACTTAAAGCTTAATGTACTTATTTATATGAATAATATTATCTTAAAAAATATTATTTTTTGATATCTTTGTTTCCTGTTTTTCAGAACGGACTGACCCCTCTGCATCTTGTAGCTCAGGAGGGTCATGTGGGCATTGCAGACACTTTGGTCAAACACGGAGCATCTGTTTACGCTGCGTCTCGGGTGGGTGTTACTAACTACCTCCAAAAAAATAGAATTGCTTTATTAAGCTAAAAGATGACTATTTAAAATTATTCTATTTAATAAATACCCTGTCTCATTCTACAATTTTGTGTAAAGATCAATTAACAAACCACAAAATAAAGTCATAAACATGAAAGGATTGCATTTTTTTTCATATACAATACATATTTTTATATCTTTTTATCTATATTTGATTTATATTTGCCTTGTTGTTTTAAAAAACAGGTCACAAATCTTTACATTAACGATGTTTAAACGACTCCACTGTGTGTTTTTGCCGTTTTTCTACGATTATGCCGAGTCATGTTTGCATCCTTTTTCCTAACAAGATTAAAACAGTCAGCAGCAATCTATAGACTCTCTATCACGCTCTTTCAGATGGGCTACACTCCTCTTCACGTGGCCTGTCACTATGGCAACATAAAGATGGTGAAGTTCCTCCTTCAGCAGCAGGCTCACGTGAATGCTAAGACCAGGGTAAATGTTTGTAATTTATTTCATTATCAGTGCTGGAATGCCCCTATTTTGTTCCTTATTTTGTGTGGCTGTACATCTTCCCCTTTTATTCTTACAGATGGGCTACACCCCTCTGCACCAAGCAGCTCAGCAGGGCCACACCGATATTGTCACCCTGTTGCTAAAACACGGAGCCGAGCCGAATGAAATCACTTCGGTGAGACGTTCAAATCAGTTCTCATCGGATGCAATGGTGCAAAACATTAGGAGCAAATACAGGAAGCAGAAATCAGATGGAATAAATGCTTTTCTAATAACACTTGTAGCAGGTTGTTTTGATGAATACATTCAAATAATAATGACATAGTGTTCCCTG